CGGAATCCCTGATCTCCGAGGCGAGAGAGAGGCGCGGGTCGTATTCGCGTCGAAGTAGAAACCTACGAAATGATAACACTCGTTTCGCGCATCGATCTCCGCTGCTTCCGAAGCTGTGTAACTCGAGAACGGGGGACCGCGTGGCGAGGAATTAACGAGCGCGCACTCCGAAGGGTAGGGACATATAATCGAGTTTCAATTTAATTTCGAGTTACGAGTTACGATTCCCCTTCGACTTGGTTCGCGCGCGTTCGACGTTCAATTATTCATCGAACTCCGCGAACGAGATACCGTTTACCGAGTCGCGTCGCGTCGCGTCGCGTCGCGGTGCGATACCGATTCAAGGTAATATTTGATTACAGTTTCTGGGACATACCGAGCGCTTGGTGGCAGGCGAGCACCGTCACGATGGGAATCGGTGTCGCGATCGCGGTGATCGGCGCGCTGACCCTGCTGGCCGCAGCCTCCAGCTTCCTGCCGCATATTCTGAAAACGCCCAAGCACACCAGAGTGTTGGGCAGCTTGCAGTTGCTCGCTGGTGAGTATGGGATCTTGGAGCTTCCTTCATCGCGATGGACTGACGGGGGATGTTATCGAACTCAGAAATTCAAAAAATTACGAATCTTTGTGTATAAGTAGAGTAAGTCAAACCTAATCGTATTACAATTTTTTGTCTGCCGAATTTCACTTTGAAGGGGTGAAACTACCTCAAGAAATGCAAATTTTACTTTTCTATGGATTATCTTGGGAACGGTCAGAAGTAGCGAGGACAGTTTAAACAAAAAATACATTGTTCTTTCATGTTCATAAAACTGCAAAATAAAATTTGTCAAGTACAAATTTTTCAAAATACCTCCACGATTAATCCTTTTTAAAAAATGTCAAGGGATAGTTTTACTCCCTTAAAATGAAATTCGACACGAAAAAAAATTGCAATGTATTAGGTTTGACTTACTCTATTTACGCATAAAGTTTCATTATGTTTTTTTAATTTCCGGGTTCGATAACTTCCTTTGTAAGTTTCGATACGCGCTGTCGATTGGATCTCGACCCCTTTGATAAGATATTCTTTGGTTGTTTATAATACATCTGCTGGCAGTATGTATCCCAGTCCGATTTCGATTCGAATTCGTTTTATCTTCGTTCGTCGAGAACAATAGACGAAGAAAGAATCTCGAGTGGATCGACAGCGTGTATCGATTCTAACCGTATCGCCTCGGACGGATCGGCAACGAGGAAACTCCCACTTCGAGTCCATCGTGAACGAACTTACGCATTCTGCTCCGTGGTACTAAGAACAGTCGCGACCGGAAACTTTACAGCGTTCCCCGATGGCTCGCGGAACGAGATCGTAACAGGTTACGCGTCGAGTTTCGTAATAAGATCGACCAAGAGTTCGCCGCGAATCATGGTAAATTTCTCTAATCTGCTTACGACGGATCCATCCAGTATGAGATCGATGAGAACGGGACGCCGCGAATAGCTGAAAACATGACGCGGAATGACTGGAAATCACGTTGTATCTGTTTGGACCGCAATAATATTCGATTGCACGCAGAATTGACGGGTGAACGCGAAGCGAAAACGTTCTTGCGAAGAGAGCGAAAGCGTTAATAGGAACGTCCAGCGTTTGCGAAGCAACGGGTCGACACGTGGTTTCCCGAGAGCCGCTAGACAGCAAAGAATCCACAAAGAAAATGGATATTACTCGAATATCATTCTTCTTTGAAACGTTGACACGTTCCATTTTCTCGTTCGCCGTTGGTCGGGCCGTGGTTATCGCTCTCAAAATGGCTTTTCACCGGGCGACGCTGTTATTAACGAACTCCTGGGAAACCGCGTACCAGGCATAATTTATTTATTAGCTCGGCAGACATAATAGCGTCCTGTTGATCCGGCTCTCTGCGAACTCATCGCGGACGTTTCGAATTTCCACTGTGAAACTAACTTTTCCGTGTTACGGGAAATCTACCTAAAAGCACCGATGGTTGGTCGTCCGGGTCACGAGCGAGTCTCGAAAGCTAGTCGTTTGGTTGTCTTTGAAGACCCGCCTTCTCATTGTCGTACGGTTCTTCCATCGCGTACGGTCGAACGGACCTGTGGTTGAATAAAATTCCTCTCCGTCAACGTCGTCGCGCGAACAATGTTCGGTGTTTCGCTGTTCCGCCGAGGTGCCGGATGGAAAGCCGCGAGATTTAACCCGCTGACAACCGCGCTGCCATTTTCTCGTTACAGCAGTGATGATATGCGGTGGTTTGGTGATGTATCCCATAGGATGGGACAACAGGGAGGTGCGGGAGTCTTGCGGGAAAGGTGCTAACGTGTACAATCTCGGTGAGTATCGGTCTCTAGACGGACTAGCGTCTCTTGGAGAATCGTTGGAATACGTTCGTCGACGACGTACGACCGTCGATCGTTGAACTCTGACTGGTGGGACTGAAACTTGAAAATTTGTTCGACGCTGCGACGAAATTTCGATGTTGCCTACTGTGAGAGTCTGCGTGGCGCACAGTGTGATGAAAAAGTCAAACGCTAGTTAATTTGATTGAAAAATAATCTGTTGTTCCTGGATTGTTGCATTACTTCTTTATGTCTACTGTTATTGCGAGACAAGTATTTGCAACTTGAAACCATATTTTACTTATAATTCGGTAAATTTTATTTGACGTTTTCGGAATTCGCTTGGAATATATTTTAGATGTTTGTTTATAGAAATATTAGCTTCTTAATTTATGTTGGAATAGGTTTGCATACCGTTTCTTTTAATCCAATACATATAGCTGCGTGTGATATATAAATTTTGTAGGTATGATATAATTGAATCCACTGACCAAATATATTTTCGCCAGGCGTTATACATATTTCACCTGCTTTTCTACGAAAACACGTAAAAATATCAAAAGATTGGATGCGCACGGATATAAATGTTTTGATCTCGCAATCTCGAATCTATAGAGAATTAAGAGCTATATTTACATTTTCAAATACGAACAATTTGCTTGACTTGAAGAAATTCGAAAATAGAGAGAAAAAGTGGTAATTCGGTAAGAAAACAATAATAAAGATATTAGTATTCACATTCTCCATTGAAGAAAACCACCACCTAAAACTATTCCAACAAAAATCAAAATGACAACCGTTTCCTACAGACAAAAATCCAAACAATATTTCGCTCAAGTTACCACACTTTCAAATAAAGTTTGACATAGCCAAAGCATGGTGTGTTACAAAATTCAGATGGATCTTCCACAGCAACAGCAGAACCAGAAAACTAGTACATGACTACAGAAAGAAAAACGTTATTTTTCCATGGAAACGCCCAGCGTTCGACGATTTCGTCGCACTGTGTCGCGATCTGGACCAATCATCCCTCATCCGACCGAATATTCGACGTCGATCTGTTTCAGGAAAGTGTTCCGTGTCCTGGTCGAGCCATTTGCTGATCGGCTCTGTGGCGTTGCTGATGTTGTGCTTCGGGCTGAGCTTCTGCGCCACGCGACACAAACCATCGAATCCCCGCACCGATCCGCTGCGCATTTGACAATCGAGATATTCCCAGTCGATTCACGCGTACGCTTCGCCGAAGACGACCACCACCCTGTCGTTCGTGACCGTCTGCTGATCCCGACGATCGTGGACCGCGTACGACGCGGCGTGGTCGCCGCAGCTTCCGGTTAACCGGTTGGTTGGCTGGCTGGTTGGCTGGCTGGCTAGCTGGCTGGCTGGCCCGACGGTCGACTCCTCTACTCTCTACTTATAGGTGAACGTTTACGTGTGTAGCGTATAGTACCGGGATCGGGCGGAAGTCTTTCTCCACCGTTCGGTCTTCTCTTCGAAAGAACCGCGCTCGACGACTAGCATTTCCAATCGTTCCTCCTGGAAATCGCTGACCGGTGTTCACAGCCTAAATGGCGCGGCGACGTCTGCGAGCTTCTTGACCAGCAAACGACTAGGTTCCGATCGCCTAATTTTTCTACGCTGCCGCTAGATCTCGACCGGAATACAATTTTTCGTGGAAATCTCGGAGGTTCTCTTTGAGGCAGCGATCGGTTGCCTCGTCGAGCACGTACCGGGGTGAACTGAATTTCCTAAACGACGTAGGGCCCCCCAGTAGCGGTAGCCGCGTACGCGAGAACGTGGCGCGCGTTGGACCGCGAGCGAATCGTTTCACGTTATGGATTTCCTAACTTTGTAGCGAGGATAATAGATTCAATTAGGAATTAGACGTAACGCGCGCGCGCGCCCTTCCGGTGTAACGGTTCCTCCGTGGCGGGAAAGGATGTGATTAATTCCTATCGGGGGAATCGAACTCGCGCGCCGACTTCGGAGTTGTTCGCAAAGTCGCGCGTCGCAGGGGCGAGCAAACGATTTCTTATTTCTCGAATTCGCCATGGGGTAATGTATACCGCCGTATCAAGTAATTACGAGTAGGTACCCTCGCGGTGGTTCGAATCCCAGCGCGAAAAAGCTGGGAACGTCAGTGCTCGGGGTTCCATTTTGAAACGTGAAAAGACGAACTCGCGTGCGACGAAATAATCGCATTGTTCGGATTAAATTCGCATTGTTCGACCCGCCAGCGGTTCGTTCGCGTTGCTTACGCGCCAACGGTTCCTGCCGAATGCCCGTTCGGTCGACGCCATTTCGACGCGTGGCGCCTGCCGTCGAACAGACAGCCAACAAAAAACAAAATATAACATCACCGATGCGGGAATGAAAATTCTCTGGGATGGAAAAGCGGAGAGAAAATCCCGCTGCCGGAAAGTTCGTCGAACTGCTGAAAAACTGCAGAGCCTATCACGCGATCCTGATTTCTCGGCTCGTTTTCACGTACTCGCACGACCGCGGAGACCGAATTTTCGCGGAACGCGAAGCGACGAGCCGCGGCGCCCGTATTTTTCAAAATAGAAGATTTCATTCGGATATCGAGTCGGTTCGGAATCTACGCCGCGCGGAGCTTCGACGAACCGTGAAACGGATGAGCAAGTTAGCGATAGTTGCGACGGAACTGCCGCGATCCGTCGGGTTTTCTCTACGGAATGCGCAAGATTGTTTTCGCAGAGCGGAAACTCGACGATGGAACTTGGTTGAATTTCCGTTGCGTCGGTGGGAGACGCGCAAAACTCGGGGAATCGTTCGGAGGAAGACCAGTTTCAATGATAATCGTTCCGCGGAGCGTAGTCGAGTTCCAGTTTCAGCGCGAAACCCGATCGCGCGGTCCCTCTTCGCTCGCGGAGTCCGGTCGGAGTTCCTTTTCAATGATCGCGGTGCCGCGACGCTGCTGCTCTTTAATCGAACGCCTCGCGATCGATCGTTTCGAAAGTTTTCCCGGAGGAAATCGAGCCACGAGGACAGCAAGATTTACTCTTGAGATTTAAGTAACGGTAGTAAAAGGAGTGGAGCGGCGTGAAACAACGGGACGAAGTATGCGTCCATTTCCTCGTCCCGACCCAGATGCGAAGAGTCGCGACGTGACTCGAGACGAAACGACACCGAACGACACCGAACGAAACCAAACGAAGCGAATCGAGCGAATGGCTTTTGCTCGTGACACGCGCGTTTCCTACACCCGCCCGATTTATCCTTTATACTCTTTCCCGGTGAATCCCGGCGAGCGTTTAACGGGTGTTCGCCGTGAAAATTATTACGATCGACTTCCCGTTCTCAACCACCTTTCCGTTTCTGGTGTTCGCCGGGCTCCTCCTACTGGCGGAGATCCTACGTGCATTTTCCCACGTTCGTAGCAAGTGTTTTCCTGTCGATCGAAAATCGACCGTTCCACTGGAAGTTGCAGTCACGGAAGCGAACTTCTAGCTCCTGTTCTGGAATTCTTCCGCTCTCGTCGCTGTTCTCGCGATTTTTATAGCGATCCCGTTTCGTTCGCGTTATCCGTTGATTTTCGAGGAAACTGGCATCGATCGAACGCGGGGAACGTATCGAAAAGTTTAATCTCTCGCCTCGCGCGATTTGCTTTGAAGATGTTCTCCTCGGTGTTGAAATATCCTTAACACGTTAAGCGAAAATCTTAAGTGTTTTTCTGCAGAATTATTCTTTCGCGGAAAAGAAGAGCAAGAACAATTATGAATTATTTGCTGTTACAATGCTTGCGTTACATTATTATCAAGTTAGTTACGTTAGTAAACATTTGCGTTTGACTTCGGTTATCTTGCATGTTACGATTGTTTTCTAATCATTCAGAAATGTCGGTCTCTAATAGCTGACATGGCGCTTAACGTGTTAATAATTATCTGGACAAAGGGATGCGACGTTCGTTATAAGTCTGTGTTTATTACGAAGATCAACCTTCGCAAGGGAAAGATTGAATTACGGTAGAAGCTTAAATTCAGTTTCTAGACTATATCACGAGTCCCACTCTACGTTACAGGGCGAGGGGTTAACGGTGTTCCTATCGTTCCGAGTCTATCGAACCCGAGACGGTAGCTCTGTGGTCGGGTTCGGCGGTGCAGACCTGTTGCCGGAATATCTTTTCGCCAGCCCGCGGTGTCTCGTCGCGGAATTGGCAACGAAATCAAGATCGAGACAACCGGTGGCGTCGCATGCGTTTCGTTTGAGGTAGTGCGGTTTCGAAGCCTGGCTTTCCGCAGCGAGACGCGTCGCGCCGCGTTCCAGTTCCTTTTTTCGCTCGAACGAGCTCGAGTTTCCTTTGAAACCCGGAAACAGCGTTCCTCTTTTCAGCGATTCAAATTTCCCGCTTTCGACATTTGTACTTTTTAACCGTAACGCACAGTCCCCGACAACGCCGTTCGCTGTTCCGGGTCCAGTTGGCTCGCTCGATCGATCGACGCGCGGCGAAAGGCCAAAGGAAATAACAACGAATTAGCTTCGAGCGATCGCGTAGAAGGATGACGGCGGATCGAGTCGAAAAATCGGAACGTCCGCCGCGAAACGCAACGTTCGTCGACAGGGCAACGGTCTTAGGATCTCGCGAGAGAACGCGGGTGCGGCGAATTCGTGACGGTTTTCGACCCGTCCTTCCTTATTTGCATGGAAATTGCTGCTCTGTCGGATTGCGCGAAAAAGGGGACCGCAGGAAAAAAAGAACCGCAGCTCGACCGAGCCTGGACGCTGCGCCGCGACGACAGAGTTTAATAAATCAACTTGCCGTCACGGACCGCGCGCGTCAAACGGCGCGTAATCGACTGCCGCGATACGCACAAATGCGACGGACGCAAAAAACTGGGGGACGGAAAATGTAAATTGTTCCCAGTTACGAACACGCGTGTGCGCGATAACGTTTGCGAGAATGTCGATACCGCGATGCGCGAGCCGAACGAGGGATCCCGTGAGCGAGCGCCCGCGAGAGAAAAGCAGTGCCCGTGGAAATAACGGAGAAAATAATGGTCGTTCGACGTCCGAGCGACGGAACGTTCCCGATGAAGCTCGAGACCCGTCGACGCGTGAAATTTGTCGGTTCGTTTTCCCCGTCGCTGTGTTTCTGGCTGTGCTCGGAAGAAGTCGAAGCGTTCTCCGATCAAACGTCGACGCGGGGTAAGAGAAGAGCCGCGCGGTTACGCGTAATCGCGGGAACGATCGTCACAGTTCTCATCTGTATCCGTGGAAACCGGACTTTTTCTAGGCTAACGAACCCCGTTGAAAGCAACGCGAGCTTGGCGAGCTCCTCGTGCTCGCCCGTGTCCTTTCACTTCCGTAAATCTTCAACGACTGTACATACTAAATATACATAGATATATTATATATATATATATATATACAAATATACATATAGTACCTACGTAAATATTCGACGTGGCGTAAATGTTACCTATCATTACTATATATTTTATAATAAAACATGGATTAAACGAAAAACACTTTGCCATTCGCTTTATTTCTCGCACCGAATACCGTTACCTTCGCGTACACCTCGTTCATCAAATTCATTGCTTTTACAGGATTATTCCCCCATTTTTTCTTTCAACTCTTTTCAAAGGTCATTCATTTCTTTCAGTTTTATTCGTCCTATGCGTCGATCTTTGTCCGTATTCGCTATCGGTATTCACCGCGGGACCATTTTCTCCGGGCTCGAGCCGCTGTTTCACGGTTATGCTCGTTCCGTCCCGTTACAGACAATAAATAACATTCTTTACGTCGTATCTTACTATCGCATGTATTTTACGAGCGATATTTTTGTTATTTATAATTCTCCCTCTCTTTCCCTCGCGTATGCTTTACTACTTTTACATCCGACGAACGGATACAACGGACTCGTCCCGAACAATGGGTCGCCAACAATAACTGTGATGTATATCGATACCGTATTACGACTACGAGGAGTAAAAGAAGCGTGGAGCGATGAGTCCCGTCGAGGTATCGTAATTCCCGTGTATCGATGATTCCCCAGTTCCCACGGATCCGTCGTGTCGGATACCGCAATCTGGAGACCGTCTCGTTGTCGTTTCGAATGACGAACCTAATTACTAATTGGAGCGGATACGGTGATCGAGACGCGTCCCAATAGTTGCACCCGAGATATTGGCCATGACGATCCATCATCTCGCTGCCAATGATGGAGAATAGACGGAGAATAAGGTACATGGACGAACAATCCCGTCGCGTTTTGAAATCTAGAAAACAATTCCTGAATCGTCCGGAACGCGCGTTTAAGAGACATCGCGCCGCACCCAATCGAATTAAAGGCGCGAATGGAATAAGATGGTCGTCGTTGACCCGGACCTGCCTTCATCGATCGGAACGATAGAAAGGGGAGGAGAGAGAAGGTTTAGCTCTCCGTGGAAACGAAATTTAAAGTCATGGAAAATTTATGCGACCGCGCAGCCCGTTTGAAAATATGTTAAACGTATGCAGGCTAAAGCATTCCCTTAACCGAGCTAGGACGATCTTGTTCCCGTATCGGCGGGCTTTCCAACGCGAATGCACACTCCGCGACCCTGTCGCAACGCGGTTGCGGTTTCCCTTTTTTCCTGCGGTTTCCTTTCCAACGTCTCATCGTTACCAAATTTCTTCCACGAGATTTTCACCAACTCCGTTTTCCGCGCGTTCTCGCGAGCACGCGCGAGTATCGAGCTCGTCGCTTCGCTGTTACACGCGAAGCTGGTCGCTCTGGAAACCATGAATGCCACGCTTCCCCTTTGAACCTCCTTCCCTGCAGGCTTCCTCTTAAAGATCTCCCTCGACGTTCCCGTTTATTTACGATTCTCTCTAAGGATAAAATCGAGCAACGCGCCCGGAGGAAAATAGAAGAACGAGGCAGCCACTTTGCTCGACGGCGGCGTTCCGTCTCGCGTTCCTCGCTCGATGGCAGCGTTTGAACGATGCTCCTTTGGCGATCGTGACGAACTTCGCGAGAAACGTAGTCGGACAGCTGGACATGCGAAACTCCGTTCGAAGGGATGATGCTAATTCTCCAGGGCGAGGCCAAAGGTTTCCTTCGATTACGAGGGAATCGTGTAATCCACTTCTGATTCCGGTTCCGTATCCGTGTCGAACCACTGAGAGTCATCGGTAAGATGTTCCTGATTCGGAAATTGGGTTCTGTGTTCGAGAAGAGATTCGTTGGACAAATAATTTCTGTTTGGAAACACAGACTTTCGAAATTACGCGGTGTCTTCCTGTTCCCTCGTTGTTTCTTCGGATTTTTCCTTTCCCCTGGCACGTCGAGAAATCGGTAAACTACCCTCGGCGAAATAGCACGGAAAACGACGCGAAATAAAATACCGTCGTAACTGTTTCGCGCTTTAAAATTTAAATTACACGGATTTACGTCGGCTGCCAGTGAATTACGATGACCAGGTTGCCGGCGAGGAGAAAGTCGTTTTAACCGTATTTTTTCTCCTCCCATGGATATCGTTCCGACTGCTTTTATTCTTCTTCTTTCTTCCTTCCGCTATCCTGCTGCGTTTCCGCCATTGGAACTTTCAAAGTTAGTCGGCCGCATTTGCCCCGGAAAAATGATTCTTTGAAAGAGCCGAATGCGAGAATTAATTTTGAGTGGCTACGTTTCGAATCGTAAGTGGCCGCTGAGCCGTATTATTCGTGCGACGAATTTTCGTTGCTCGAATCGCGAACGTTCCGCTTTTTACCGAGAAGTGATTCGTGTAATTTCCTGAAGCGATTCGAGTGCGACGAACGCGCGATTCTCGACTCGTTTCAACGGACAAATTCAATTTTTGATTTTCCCATCTTCCATCGTCGGGTAGTCCCCCGACGATTTTAGTCGCTACGTTCCACCATTTACTCAGAATTTCGCGTATTTCGATATTAATCTGCCTAGTGGCTATCTCTCGTCGTCCGACGTCGGCGTCACGCGGGAACCACCTGTGCTGAGTACTGGATGTCAGCTCCGCTGTTATCGCTGCGCGAGATCCACCGCTTCATTACTGTTCGTATTACTTACGAAGGAAGTTATCGAGCATGGACATTCAAAAAATTATGAAACTTTTTGTAAAGTAAGTCAAGCCTAATACATTGCTATTTTTTTCGCGTCGAGTATCACTTCGAAGAATTGAAACCACCCCCTGTAAAGAATGCAAATTTATGTTTCCCATGGATTATCTTCAGAATAGTAAGAGATAGCTAGAAAAAGTTTTAAAAAATATACATTGTTCTTTCACGTCTATAAATATGAGATATAAAATCCTTTTTGAAATTTGAACTTCCTGGAATATTCTATTTTGTATATTTGTAGACGTGAAAAAACAACGTATTTTTTGTTTAAACTGTTTTACTCTATCTTTCACCGTTCTCAAGATAATCCACGGGAAGCAGAAATTTGCATTTTCTTTCAAGGGGTGGTTTCAACCCTCCGAAGTGAAATTCGGCACGAAAAGAAATTGCAATGTATTAGACTCGACTTACCCTACTCACACAGAAAGTTTTATGATTTTTTGAATTTCCGTGTCTGTTAGACAAGTTACCGCGGTAGAAACGTTCGAGGAATCGAGGAACTTGATGCCGTTGAACTCGATTCCAGCACGTCTGTCAATAGACCATCCTTCGTGTACAATTTCACGGTAAGTAATCTTCGAGTTTTAGATTGAATTTCGATTTCGATTTTAATTCCAAGCCAACTTTCAAAATAATCTTGGTGACACGTTGTACTCGGCCAGTTGTACCAGATACGTATCTTTGATTTTGTATGCACTTTCAAGAACAACAAAGACGATACGATAATAACAGTGACGATTATTTGAAATTTCCTTGTCACGATGCGCCGAGAGGCGGCTCTCATCTCGAAAGTAGCCTACGCCTGATAAATGTATCGGTCTACAGCGTATAGAGATAGATACACGTTCTTCGATGGGAAACTTCCCTTAATGTACACGGTAAACGGAATATGTTTGACTTGCCGAGTCGAAGACAAACGCACGATCGATAAACTAGATCCGCGAGTAATGCGATCACGAGATCGTAATAATGCTGGTTGATGGTACGTCGCTCGATCGAACGACGGATGTTCAAGAGATGCTGGGATAACGGCGCGAGCGTATTTTGAAATCGACGAATCGATTCCATTGGTTGTTCCGTTTCATTCGGTAAGTTTCAATCGGCGAAACGCGCCCGGGAATCAGCGCTTTTATTTGCTTCGCGAAATCGTTGGAACACGACGTTACCCGTCTAACGTTTCCGTTAGATGTCCGTGTACGGAGCCGTTTCGCACAAGACTATGGCCGATGGTTCCGGTACATTACACAGCAGCCAAACAAGTGCTCGGGACCGACTATTCTCCGTTCCGACAAAATTCGAGACGTACTTACACGCGTGACTCTATCTGTGGTGCATTGCTTACAACCTCATTCGAATTATTACGTCGCGTAACAATAGCCGGCTACATAGAATCATGGGGCACGGTTAAAACCGGGCAATCCCGCACCTAACTAAAACTAGACAAACATTTCCAATTTTACAGTTAAAATTAAAAACAGGTTTACATCGACTTTTGACAAGAAAATATGAGAATGTAATATAATAATGTACAATAATATACAATTATATGGTATACAACAATAAATTTATTAATATAAATGATATATAATTTCATATAATTATATAAGATGTATATTCATATATCATATATTACATGAAGTGGAGTAGCTAAAAGGTTAATACTTCACCAAATAATAAGGAACATTCGTATACCGAATATAAATTAACACTAGAACTACCGTACCAGTCAAAATGACTGGTTTCGACTTTTTCGTTTAGCAATTATTGATATCTTCGAAGCATTGAATGTTCGAAATGATTTTGAAAATAAATAGTTTCATTTCAGTACTATAATGAATGCCTGAAGAAACTGAAAATAATCTATTGTTACAGTTTTTATAGGAATTGCATATTAATCGTATTAAACGCTCGGTAGTTCTAGTGTTAAAATACAAAACACAAGTGTCTCCGAGCAGTCTGAAGTCAAATCTTTCACTTGTATTCCATCGTCCATTGCAACGGAAATAAACAAATCAATTTTCTCTCTTGGTTTGGATCAGACATAAGATTTTCTCTTCGCGAATATATCGGATAAACGACTAGCAGACGTTTTCGCGCGACCCTTTTCGAATGTCCACTGTGTGGACAGTACGCTCCGACATTGGGGTTACTTTTCGCGTGTCAGTTACGGATGCCATCGCGATTTCCCGTCACGAAACGGATTCACTGATGGTTGGCGGTCCGTGTTCAGCTGACCGAAGGGCCGCTGCGCCACGCCGTGCCTAAGCACGGTGCGAAGCGCTGCGATGCACTGTGATGCGATGCGATGCGAAGGGAGGCGAGGCGAAGATACGTCGCCGCAAGGGCGGCGAAAGCTGGCGATCGTGTCTCGACTCCGGGGGATGAA